CCTAACTCAACCCTAACTCAACCCTAGACAGATTGTTCACCCCCCCAAAAAAAAAAAAAAGAGTAACTTTTTTCCATTCAAATTGCTAATTTTATTCAAAAATGACTTACATTTTAAAAGTTATTAAGCAACACAACTGCACAGGGATATCACTACAGATAAGTGTTGCAAGTTACTAATCTGTAGTCATACCCGACAAGCAGACTCTGCAAACAAACAGAAGGAAGGGCTGCACTGGGTTGAACACTATAATGTCCTGGAACCACTGGTAGAACGAGCTCAAGGGAGGAAAAGTAAAGTGCCAAATTCGGTTTGACACAATTGTGAGCCAATGTCGAGTCAGTAGACCTAGAGGACTTTCCAAGCAGGAGGCTCCAGCCTTACAGAGAGATAGCAGCAAGGAGGAATTAGGAGTTCCAGCCATATGACGAGCATCTGGAGAGCCAACAGATCTGCAACATCTTAGCATGCCAGTTGATAAAAGCCCATGAAAGGCCAGCTGAGTGGACAGACCTTAGAGGACACACAGAACAGAGCATAAGGAGCACAAGCAGACCTGAAATCAAAGGCAGTACTGATAGATGGACAAATTCTATGACCACAACAAGAGAGCCTTAATCAACGACCATGGCTTAAACTACAGAGTTTACAACACTCCCTGCACTAGATGTACACATAGATTTACAAAACAAGTTATAAATATAGATGACTCAGTCGAGACAAATACATTTATACAAAAAAAAAATACAAGTTATCCCCAATGAAGACCTTGTCTCCTAGACAACCGGGACAAGACCACAGGAACCAGTTGAGCCCTCTGCACAATCTGACTTTGCTGCAGCCTGGATGGTTGCTGGTTTCATCTGGCCAGAGGAGAACTGGCCTCCCAACTGAGCCTGGTTTCTCCCAAGGTTTTTTCTCCATTCTGTCACCGATGGAGTTTTGGTTCCTTGCCGCCTGTCGCCTCTGGCTTGCTTAGTTAAACTGAATTCAGTGATGTCATCATCCAGCTCAGTTCAGTTTAACTAAGTTCTATGATGAACTGCCTTTAACTGAAAATTGAGTGTTCACTATTGTCATTTTGAATTATTGATACTATTTTCCCATTTAATGCCTATCATTGGTTGATCAGGATGTACAGAAGGATGGCCATGATTCCCAGCGGCTTTGGAGAGTTTGGCTTAACCCAGTAAAGAGAATATATACAAGATTAATTTCAGTTTCAGTTGTCAGTTTACTGAAGAAAGCTCTCCACATCTCTTGAGCTCGAAGAGCAAACAAGCCTAAAAGAGCATAATTCTGGAGAATGAGCACTCACCTATGAAACCCTCAATGAATACAAGTGAGCTGCCATTAAGGAACGGGACAGGATCACATCCAACTCATCTAAGCAGCTGCCCAGCTCACCTGGAAGACATGGAATGAGTTTTGTGGTTTACATTTAACCCTAATGTCTCAAAGGAGAGATGCATAAAGAGCATATTTCCAAGTATTTAAGAGAAGGAAACCCGTTCAAGGTGAGCTTGACAGAGAGAGAGAAGAGGGCATCAGTGCCTGGTTGATTCTAGTCTCAGTCATCATGCCCATGGACCGCTGGCTGAACATCTGATGCATACAGCACACAAAACTGGAAACATTACAGGAGTTTCTAAATCCTCATCTGATTGGTTGAATTATATAGGATTTCTGGGAGACGCACCACGTTCTTTAACATTCCCCCTGGAAACAAATATGCCATGACACCAAACTACCTCATGGAAGAAAGTGGTCATGTTTACAGCTGTGACAATGAGCACTTAGGATCAACTAAAGGCTGGTTTTCAAAAGTATGTGAAATATGTAAAGTTCACAGCATAGATGCTTGGAGTACTTCAGTATTTACTTGAATAATCCTCACATCATCAATGTAAAGGATAATGCATCCAACTCGGATAATGGTACATGTGAGGTTTCCATGGATCTTATATGCATTCAAATTCAAAAGTTGTTTAAATAGAAATTTATAGCTCAGGATAGAGAAAACAAACATGCTTGTTTGGCATGTGGTGGAAGAAAGTGAAGTCACGTCCTCTAGTAGAATCAAGGTCTCAATCAAGCCAAAGATGAGCAGACAGCGGCTTCAGATTTGGGAATATGGAGATAAACCACTGTACGCAAATGTGGGTGGAGGGCAGAGAACATTCATAAAAAATAAAATAAAAAGCTTTATCTGCACTTGCCTTCCTTCATGAGTCAGGTCTCCACTCAAGGGCTGAGGCTCCTGCATTGCTGTCAAAGTTAAGTGCACAAGTGATCATTTAAGTTCTTTTTTTTTTTTTTTTTTTTTAAAGGGACACTAACAAAAGATAATGTGAAGCGCCTTTGAATATACTGAAACCTACTGATCTCAAACATTTGAGCAGCTTGTTAATGTTTTATCCAAAGTGTCCTTGACCAGCCATCCCTATAACTGTACTGAGCTTGGGGCGCCCCATCTATCTGATCCGAGTACAGTGAAACAGCATTTGCAGGTCACAGACTCCCTGTTTTGATCCTCAGAGTCACAACCTTTGGTCAAACAAAGCTATCTATAGCTATAAAAAGAAAAAAACACTATAACCACCACACAATACAATGCGGTCACAAATGACGTGAGGGCTTCAATCATGGAGGATCACAGCACATCCAGCTTCATGTTGCCCAACATGCCTGCAGGACAAAAACTCAGTTAGTAATGGAAAGAAATTTTTAAAAGTTTTTGAACAAGAGTACATTTAAGTATAGGTAGGGCTGGTCAAAAAATAAAAATCGAATGCGATTTTGAACGCGATTTTGTGTAGCTTGTCAGTGATCTACGGCTCTGTGTAGTAAATGCCGCTCCATCTGAAAGCACGTCCTGGAGATTTACTACTAATCACCAGAAGTGGCTTTACTGATGAGATTCGCATTCGATTTTTTGCCCAGCCCCAAGTATAGGTAAGTGTATAAGCTGAAGATGAAGACGGGAGTTAGTGTATTCTGCTGGAATCCAGGTTTAAGATCTGATAAAGCCGTCAATCAGAGAAGATCAAAAGAGGCTAGAAGAGACAGCATTTCTGCAGCATGAGGCTCATGAAGATGGATTCTGGAGTCACCAATGACGATGAGTGGGCCTTCAATCAAGGAGGGGGGGGAAAAGCTGATCTGGAGTCTGAAATTACTCTTGAATTTCATTCAATTCTTGGCACTAATTGAGTATTTGTGCTGTATAATTTATAAAGCTGATGGAGAGCAGAGTGCCGATGTGTCCTCTTATTAAATTCCAGGTCTCAGTCGAGAGTGTGACTACAGCTGTAATGCATGATCAAACAGTACAGTCCTGCACTTTAAACAAAACACATTCCATCAACTATTGATTAATTATACCTCATAAAACAAACATTAAAACCACAGTCTTTTGAACAAGGTTAAAGAGTAACTAACCACAAACCTACAGAAAACAGACAAAACCGTGCTTTAGTGGGCTCCCTGTCGCCATGTTTGAGGCACCACATCTATCTGATATCTGACCTCAGTAACAATGAATTTGCACCTGCAGGGGATTGACTCAACTCACTACATAGCATTGATCAAAGACTGCAATGGGTCATTCTCCACCACAAGGCTTGGTTCGACCCAGTAATAAGCAATATACAGTGTTGTAAATATTGAGAAACACAGGAGGACTCACCTCAGCAGCTGTTGATTTTCTCAGGAGAAATCGCTATTAACACTTTCAGGGCCTCACTGGAACAAAAGCAAACCATTAAAAGTAACTGCATGCTGGTAACGGGTGTAAAAGGAACACTGAGCTGCTTGTGGAAACCAGAGCCATCTGTGAGCCATTTATAATGATATTAGATTAAAAGACCTTGGAATTCTGTAGGACTGACAAAGTCAACAACGAGTGGACTTCCATCAAGGAGTGGAGGTGAAATAGAAAAAAACTGAGCTCTTTAAGATGTGCAGATTATCTGTAGAATGAAATTACAGATAAAACCGAGTTAACATTTGTAGTTGCACAAAACTGAAACATTAACCAAGTCAGCTTCTCTACAGATCTTAATTTTAATGGAAAAGATTTTGGTTGAGAGAGGAAAGTGTTGATTTGCTAATCTTAGGCTTGACATTGATAAAAGTCAGCTTTGGGACACTGGAATTGACAGACGGATGAAAAAAAAAGTGAGTGAGCAGCAGAAGGACGTATTTAAGCAGAGTTTATATTATATTAAGCATTAGAGAGGAGTACATACAAGAGAGTCAAAAGTAATTACCTCTCAACATCGTTGGTCATCAACACAGATGCCTCACTTTGGGGGGGAAAAACAAAAACAAAGTACAAACTAAAAGAAATGGTATCAAACAGACAAAAAAATAAATAAAGAGGCACAGCAGACATGTGAAGAGCGTTCATTTAAAAACTCAAACAGTCACAAGAGGTAAACTGACATTGACAAGCAGTTATCAATGCAGCCATGAATGAAAAAACCCTGAAACTATTTAGTGTGCACATTCCTATATGGATTTCAAACTTTTCCTATAACCAAATATTGTAAGGGTGGTTTAGTCAAATCTTTGGAGGACTCTCACCTGGGCAGCTGTTGAGTCTCCTGAATAGAATGTTTTACGGGGGAAAAACAAAAACAAAGTACAAACTAAAAGAAATGGTATCAAACAGACAAAAATAAATAAAGAGGCACAGCAGACATGTGGAGAGCGTTCATTTAAACTCAAACAGTCACAAGAGGTAAACTGACATTGACAAGCAGTTATCAATGCAGCCATGAATGAAAAAACCCTGAAACCATTTAGTGTGCACATTCCTATATGGATTTCAAACTTTTCCTATAACCAAATATTGTAAGGGTGGTTTAGTCAAATCTTTGGAGGACTCTCACCTGGGCAGCTGTTGAGTCTCCTGAATAGAATGTTTTACAAAAATGGGTTTAATACCAGACTTCAGGCACTGTCAACAACTTGAGATGACATTTTTAAAAAGGAAATTTTCTGCACATGGTGCTATAGCATAACTTGTCAATACACATTTACTCTTATCAATTCCTCAGGATGTTGAATATCAGTGATTTAACAAAAATGGTGCTTTACTCAGATTAATTACATACACAGAAATGCTTCACAACCCCTGTGTTTGGTCTGGATCCACAATTTAAACCATTATAATTCAGCACTGCTCAGAACCAAATAAACCTTTACAAGCATTGTGTGGATTAATTTCTGAATGTTACTCACCCATTTCCAGCGACAAGGAAGCACTTGAAAAAGCAATTAACCATTAATCCTCAAACTCACAGATCGTTTGTCAATAAAATAAGAATCTAATTCCTTAAGAACATGCCAACATTGAGACTTAACTGAAAAGCAGACAAAAAAAACACTAGTGATAAACTAAAGAAACAGTTATGGAAATATACACTCATAATACACACTGAATACTCTCCTCTGAGGCGGTTACTAGAAAAATCCCCTGCCTGTACCTCACCTCCAGTAACCCTTAGACCTTGATTAGTATATTCAGGTGTGTTTGATTTGGGTTGGAGCTGAACTCAACAGGACTGTGGCTCTCCAGGACCGACATTGGCCACCCCTGGGTTAGATATTTCAGTACCATTAAAATCACATCTATATAGGCAGTGTAAATAATTACAAGAGAGAAATAAACAACATTAAAAAAAAATACTCACACACAATGATTTCAATCTCCAGTAGGTCATTCACTCTCCAACCTCCATCTTACACTGACAATCCTGTGAAATTTAGCCAGGTATGGACACCGCAAGGATTTTGTTAGCCCTGTAAGGTCCGCCCACTGGTCCAACGACGGTAGCCAGTGATCCGGTAGAAGGATTCTCGCGTGTTGCTGTCTTTCCTTTTATACAGCACAACAATATTAAATTAAATACATTTTCTTGTGTTTTACCTCTTTTATTCATCTGACTCCAAAAATGAAAAGGGTTAAGAGAGTTGTTTGTTACTCAATAAACTTAGGTGAGTGTTTGATCGTTCCGTTTTACCCATGATTTTTTTATTTACTCGTTCATTAGGAATCTATGTCGCTTAGGATGCCTCACGGCGGCCGCTATGCGTGGGCTCCACGATCACAAACTCGCCAGTTTGATCCTTATTCAGAGGTTTGTGGCTAATACTATCTACTTTAAATAGTAGGTTTGTTTAGTCCCCTACAGTTACCCATGTAATGCTCAAACAATCAGTGGTTCTTCTAGACCCTTAGTCTAGACCCCGATAGTTAGTATAACCACGTACAACTTAATTAACACTATATTAATCAGCGGTTCTTCTAGACCCTTAGTCTAGACCCCGATAGTTAGTATAACCACGTACAACTTAAAGCTGAAATCATACACATGGTTAAAGTAACTGAGTACAACTTAAACTAAGGTCAAGCGGTTAGTCAGAAACCAATAATCTCACCTGATGCGCCCCATGCTTCATCTAAACCTCAGATCTAGTATGCACATAACCCTGGTCGCAGATTTGCGGAAACAT